TGCCTAGTCCGCCATCTTGCCCCGCAGTGCAGAGCTGTTATTATTGTTATGTTATTTTTCTCTGTCCTTTGCACTCGCATACCAAACCAAAAAAAAAAAAAACCAAATTCATAGTGACTCCTCCTTGGGTTTCTGAGGTGGTATCACTACAGAAGTAGATTGCCCAATCAGTCTTCTTTCCAAGAAGTGGCTGGTGGGTTTGAACTGCTAGCCTTCTGGTTAGTAGTCAAATGCCTTAGGCACTGTGCTACCAGAGCTCCTGCACTCTCATACAGGCAGTTTCAAATACACAGTTAACATTTTTGTAGTATAGGGATAATTCAAAGAAACTGAACAGTTCAGATGAATATAAACATTTTCAGGTTAATTAACTTGGGTTTAGATTTAATGTATAAATGGGGTCTTTCAGGTTCTCTGTTATAAGCCTTTCCATCAGGCCCCAAACCTTGGGGTTAGCCTTCCTTCTGATTCTTCCCATTGCTTCCCATCAGCACTGGGGTATTAAGTTCCTTTATTTTACTCTTCTTTTTCTCCTGTCTCTGTGGCATGGAGTAAGTTTTTCTTACTACTTTTTCCTTGTTCACTGATACAATTTTGTGTTTTATAACTAAAAAACATTGAAATGCACACTTTAAAAGGGTGAATTTTATGTGCTGTTAATTATATCCGAATAAAAAATTAGTAAATAAATTTTTTTATTGTGTCTTCTCTTTCTGAGAGAAACAGCGCATGTGCAAGTGACACTTTTCCAAGGTTCCAAGACTGAAAGATTTAAAATAGTTGTTATGTGTTATTTATTTGTTTATTTTTTCCCTATAGGAACAGCTCAGAGGGAATATAAGAGCAGTACAATGCAATGTAAATGTTGAGTGGTTCATGGTGTGTATTTCTCGCTTCTTTCAAATCCTGAAAAGTAGCTGGTAGCCGGGGAGAAGGCTGTTGTCCACAGAGTAGCAGCTCTGAAGGAGATGTTATGGTTTCTGTGCAGGTCCCATGGAGTGTGCAGAAGAGCCCTGTGAAGCCTATGTGGTGGTGCAGACCCAGCAAGGTTTCCAGTGTACCGTGAGAGCCCCTAGCCTGCTCTACAAGTGAGTAAGGGCCCCAGGCGCTTCACGTGGAGACGCTGCCAAGCAACTCAGCAAGAAGCTGATGCCTCTCTTTACTTTTATTGAGATGCTTGATTACTAATGATGAAGTAGTTTGGTGTTTTATGTCCTAGAATCTGTAAGGACTGGTTACAGGTTATATTTCACCATTCCACATGTATCACCAAGTCTTGTTCATTTTACCTCATAAATACCTTTGAATGCACCACTTACTCTTTCTTCACTGCCACCCCTCTGCCTTCATTGTGGATTATTTCAAATAGCTTACCTACTGCCTCTCCACATTGATTTTCATTCCTTCCCCATCATTTCTTCACATTTGAAAAAGGCATATCTGAATATTTTACTATCTTGGCTTAAAATCCACCAATGGCTTTCTATTGTTCTTACCATAATGGCCAAAGTCTTGAATGTCATTTGGAAGGCCCTGCATTTTTTCATCCTCAAATCACACCATTTTTCCCTGGCTTTGTGCTTAAACCCACCTTGTTTTCCTCAGTTCCTCAAATATGCTAAATTCCTTTCTGCCTTAGAGCCCTCACACGGTGCTGTTCCCTTTGCTTTAGAATCTTTCCTCCTTGTTATGTCCTCCTTCCTTAGGGAAGCTTGCTTTGACACCATTGTCCCCACTGTATTAGATCCCTAGAGCTGATATAACAAAGTGCCACAGAAGTGACAGAAATGGCTTAAAGTGACAGAAACTTATTGTCTCATACTTCTGGAGGGAAGAAGTCCAAATTCATAAAGCTAAATGATTTGTAGTGTCTTCTTGGTGTCTACAAATATTGACCTGTTATTGAAGCAGTTTTTTAAAAGGGAATATCTTTGGCCACATATGATTTAAACATGATGGGATTCTTTATAAGGAGCTCTGATGGCATAGTGCCTAAGGTATTTGACTGCTAACTAGAAGGTGGTGGTTCAAACCCACCAGCCACTCCACGGGAGGAAGACTGGGGAATCTACTTCCATAAAGATTTACCACCTTGGAAATCTAAAGGGGGTCTCTATGAGTCAGAATCGACTTGATGGCAATGAGTTTGAGTTTTTGAGGTTTGGCATTCTTTTTTTTTTTTATTATTATTATTTATTGTGATTTGGGTGAAGATTTACAGAGCAAATTCACTTTCCATACAGCAGTTCTCATATACTTTGTCTCATGTCATTGACCACAGTTTACCA